CTGCAGTTTTAGGGTTCCATAAGCCTCCAAGTTCAGGTTATCAGCTGACTGACAGTATCAAGTAGCACTGACCCATGTGGATTTTACCTGCTGTTCCAGTGGTCTAATTTGTTCCTGACTTTTATGAAACAACTGTAGATATGTTTCAGCAATTGCATTAGCCATGTTTGGTAACTGCCTTCACTACTATTCAAGAGTGACAAGACTGAGCAGTTCACAGTAAACAATGTCATCCTACCAATGATAGTTTAGGCATGATGTTGAAAATGGGCATTATTTATTTGCCACCTCACAATAGCAAAATATAACACATGACCAGTTTTTTTATATAATTGTTATGGAAACTTACCTATAACAATAATGGACTCTTCCTGACACTATAAATACTGCGCCTCTCAAGAGGTATAGTGAATGAATAGTGTAATGAGTCGAGACAATATTAGTTCACTCTAAACCAGACAGACAGTCATTACTAACACCTTCAACTTCTTGTACTATATTTCTGTTGTAATATATCTTTGTTATTCTACTCTTGTGTTCGTGTTGTTCTTCCTTGGTTCTAACCTTGGACCATAACTGTGGTGCGAGGATATTGGACCATAACAATAATCATGTATAGACAGCATTTTGTAATTATTTTTTAACACTGATATCCATGTCAGTGATGCACTTACAAAACTGAATCATGTGAAAATGGGTTTTTTGTTATTTTTTGCCAAAGAATGCCGAATTCACTTTTGGAGTTTACGGACTTTGCTAACTGTACACAGATGACTCAATATAGTGGTGTGAGTATATTTATAGGAATTAAATTCTATATATATATTTTTTGACCAATAAAATCCCATCAGTAGGTTTGTTTGATAAACTACAAATACTGCCAAAATACATTCGGACATAATTGTAGACCTACCACATGTTATTTTGGGACCATTTAGAAAATAACAATAACTCCCTTCATCACTTCTGCAAATTTGAGAAAAAGATTTTCATGAGACAGTGTGAAATTATTTTCTAACCAATGAAAACCTTGTATTAAAAAAGTTCACACCTCTGTGAAATTAGACTTTGGATCTCCTTTACTATTTATAAAAATAGAAGCATACTGCTTCTCGAGGTTTAAATCAATGTCAAGAGGCCAGTTTGATCTACATGTGCATACACACACACACACACACACACACACACACAATGGAAGGGAATGACAACCAGCAGTCACTGTCTAAGCCCTTGTCTCACAAACACATTAGGCTGACCATCATAAGGTAAGTCTGTCCACACATTTCACACTGCACGAAGAACACTTAATTACTTGATAAAGCAAACATCACTGCAAGAAAACTGAACATTTTATTGTCATTGTATAGCTCTGAAAAGAACATATAAATGCTATTTCAACTGGTGTTGTTCTACTTTTCCTCAAGAAAATAGCCTTTTATGTTTCATTTAAAAGATGTGTTGTTGTTGTTATATGTTTGGAATCCTGACACTCAGATAGCAACATATTTAAACTACTATATTTTTTTCCATGATAGTAAAATGTGAATGGGCTCCTACAGCTTGGTACAATTTGTCCTGGTTCAATGCCTAGAATTTAGCTAGTTCACTTCTACAGGCAATATAACTCAACAAGTAATTTGTTTAGTCTTATAGATTAGATAACTCAATGTATAACAAAATTATTTTTTAGCAATGTATAGAACCTGTTTCTATAAACAAAGAAAATTTACATATTTACTTTGGTGATATGACAACTAGTCAGTGTTTGCACAAATTTGCAAGACTTAGACATAGTCAAATTACTTTTATCACTGTTGCTCACAAAAACAAGAAAAAGTTTAGCAACAATGACAAAAGTAGCCATATTTCAGTGACTAAGATGACTACACTAAATTGTTATTTCATAGTTAGACAAAAAAGATTTATGAAATAGTTGTGTGACAGTCATCTTAGTGACTGAAATATGATCAAATTACTTTGGCCATTGTTAAGTTTCTGTTGACATTGTTTATAAAAAGGATGACATTGTTTTGTTTCAGCCATTTTAGCAACTAAGATACAGTTAATTATTTTAACCTCTTAAAAAAGCTATCCATGTCCAATTTATCAATAAAATTTGAATGTTTCAATTACTTCAGGTGATTTCTAAGCAATCTTACCTGATAATAATTAGAGAATTAATGATCTAAAAATATTATATTTAATGGCATATGAGACCTTCATTTACTCCCCACCCCACAGAAAGGCTAAAAATATTTCTCCTAGGTTTTAGAGGCAAACTTTGACAATCTAGGAGGTTAATTTTTTTAACTTCATACTTTGAATTATTGCGTATATCCTAAATCTGTAAATTTTCAATATTAAGTGTAAATAGTTGGGCAGACTCTTATATGACATTAAATATGTTTTCATTGCATTACAAATCTAATTTGAAAATATTTCATGCAGAAATTATTGAATTTTTGAAATATATATATATATAAATTTATTTTTGGAAAAGTCAAACTGTGTTTCTAAATAACTGAGGAAAAGTTTAGATGAGTGAATTCTTTTTATTTGTGCTAGCACAATGTTTTTGCAAATCCATTCTGTAGTTTTTTTCTCGTATAATTAAAGAAAGTGAAAGTTTTTATTTTTATCAGTTGCAACTAGAAAATGTTTCAGATGATAGTGATGATAACAAAATGAATGATATCAGTAGCTTAAGAAATTCATGAGATGAGGATAACATTTCCTCAAAGTACACAAAATAGATTTTCTATTTGAAAGAAAATGCTTTCATATTTTTTTAACCTTTAAACGGATATCCTTTTTTTTTTCTTAAACAAAAACAAAATACACACTGTCTCAAACTCGAAGTATTTTTTCTTTTATATCTGTAAAAAAGACCATGCAAAATATTTAGTTTTTCAATGTTTTTAGATTTTAGTTTAAAAAAATAGACAGTGGTTATAATTTTTTAGAATGAAAAATTGGTGAGCCAGGTTCAAATCCCAGTTGAGTTTCATCACATTCATGCAAATACTCTGGAGAAAGGTATGAATCTCTTCTCCTCCCAAGCTATGGGTTAAATGTAGAGTTGACTCTCTAAGCATGATTGGCAACCAGTATGGGACAACTCTGAATTCAAATCTGTATCCCTGACAAAGAACAAACTGTGTGACCATTGACAAGCCACAAATGATTTTTAAGTTTCATTGCTCTTGCTCTCTCTCTCTCTCTCCCAGCAATGTATTTAAATGAGGCTTTCATCCTAGTCATTAGATAAAATTTCCAACAAAAACCCTAAAAATAACTTTGATGTTTGACTTGAATTTTTATTATAATACACTGTCAGTTTTTATAATCTAATTCCATATATTTACAATCATAATCAATTATAATCAGTTATATGCCATGTGTGATACACAATTAAGCAATCATGTATCTTTTGATACATGACTGACGAGGCAATTTTTTCCCCACAGTAGGTTGCCATTTTTTTCGGTGGTAGACCAGTTGCCATCCAAGGCTATAGAACCCAGTCTGTCCTGCTATTTACCCATAGCTGGGGGGAGTAGAGGAGGATTCATACATTTCCCAAAGGTATTAGCACGTAAGTGAATGTAATGGATCAGACTGGAATTCATACTCTGCTCTCTGATTCCTCAATTCGAGCCACTATCTATTACTCCACCATGCCTTCTAATGATAATAAAAAAATAATAAATGGCCAACTGATGTTAAGAAAATATTTAAGATATATTTATATGATAAATGTAGTACTTGATTTTCAGCTTAGAATATCTTTTCTTTTAAATTAAAAATATTCACAAGCATTTAAAAATTCCATACCACATCCTAAACAGATCTACTGATAGAAAAGTGTTTGTTTATGTTTTCTCTCCAGAGGTCAATGTACTGATGATGAGGGAGGCTATGCTGATAGTATAGGTATTCATCGTTGGGATAAGAATGATTTTGAACAAAAAAGAATCGACATTCTTTACCAACTATTCCAAAAAGCAGAACTTAGTTTCTCTTTTGGAAAGGTTTATTATATGACTTGGAATGAAAGCAGAGATGAATATGAGAATAGAAAATAATATTCAAGCAAACATTTCTGTGAAACCATAAACACTGCTATAAGTAATGAGGTCCTGAGTGAAGATTGAATTCACTACACTAAAAAGTGTTCTCTGAGATGAGCTTGTTAACCATCATCAATACATTTTCTTCATATCTCCTTAAAAGAAGAAAAATATTTACATCGATAACTATTAGTATAGATATTATGTTTTGTGGGCATGTTTCAGTAAACATCCCTTTATTTTATTTTTTAAAAACAGTGAAATTGATCAGCCTGGGAAATAGAATACCTTATTAAATAAAATGTGCCTCTTGACAAATTGAATCTGTATTTCCTTGATTATGGGAAACCCCCTTTAAGCTAGGTATGCTTTAATCACTCTGGCACAAGAGACTTCCCATGAAACCCTTTATTAAAAAGGGTAATGGTGCTTGGCTTTACTGAATGTTTAAGCAAGCCTAACTTAACGGTGGTTTCTCAGAATAAAAGGAATGCAGGTTTGATACCTCTTGAGTCACATTTTCTTTAATAAAACTTTTGATTGCCCAAGTAGGTAAATATTCATTTAACTGCTTAAATAAAAGCAGGACGTCTACTCAAACATGTGTAACCACTAAATATAATGTTTATAGTAATAAGAAATAATGTTGGATAAAAAAATCCATTAAATGATTAAAAATTGTCTATTGTTCCTATCCTGTGAAGGTCCTTTGATGGATATAGGCTGTCACTAGGTCATGTGGATGTAATGGGCCATTACATGTTGGTAGGGGTGTATGTGACATGCTTGGACAATCATATCTCTTTTTAATTCATGATTGCCCAAGTGTATAAGTGAATGTAAAGAGTTGAGTGGAATTTGAACTCAGCTCTCCAATTTCTCATTCTGAGCTCTCATCCATTACACCAAACATGCATCGCACACCCAAACTTACAGCTCTTGGTATTCTCAAGTGGTTATCCATCTAGGTACTGACCAACCTTGACATTGCTTAACTTCAGTGATCTGATCAGAACTGGTGTTTGAATGTGATATGACCGTAAGCCCCCAAATTGCTTATTACTATCCATTAAATGTCAAAGAACTGCATGGGCATGAAAAAACAGTACTGAGTAAGTGATAAGAATTCATAATTTATCAAGCTGGAGACAATGATTTATTGGTACAAGTATGAATCCTCAATGCACAACCTCAGGGTTCAAATCCTAATATGGACATTAACTTCTTTTTTTTTTTTGTTAACAAATTAAGTTCCTTTTTGTTACTTAATAAATTAAGGAGATAGGCTTTACTCTACATAATACAAGAAATCAGATTGCACTAAATTAGAGAATGTTTTAAATTCTTTCTATTAAATCAGACAATGCAAAAAAAAATATTTGGATGATTTGTAAATAAATGTTAATATTGTGGGATCTTTATTTATGCTCAGATAGAAAGAAAAAAAATCTATTTTACAAAGGAATCTATTAAAAGCTAATTATAGAGTACTATTACTTATTTACCTTTAAATTCAATAATAATTGTTTTGACATTTTTTCTTGAACAGTGATTCAATGGGTTATCAGGTTGTCTAGTATCATGCTAAATATCTGATATACATGTCTAGTATCATGCTAAATATCTGATATTGCATATCTATGTAACCAAAATCATGCACTGGTGTCAAAGCTTTTGAATTAAAATATTCCTAAAATGCATTAATTTAAAGAATACAAAAGACAACACACAATAATCTGGCTGATTTGTAACCTGCTCTTGAACATAATACTCAGGTGGTGCAATCAGTATAAAGTGAGGTAAAGATTTTTAATGTAATGGCAAAGAGAAAAAGATATGGTTTCACTCAATTTACAAAGAATAATTTACATAAAGTTTAATGGATAGGCTGCACTTGAAAAAGGAAAACAAAAAGAAGGTTCACTAGGTTAATTTATAAACAATGGGAAAAGTTTTAAAAGGGAGCAAATATAATAATGATCTTTTTTATCATAATTATTTTCTTAAAGGATGCCTCAGTAAGTCACAGCATTGTTTAATTATTATTTTTATTATTATTTATAAACATTCATGCAAATTACAAATTGGAGATATCAAAATCAAACAAGTGCAACAATTTAAATATCTGGGAAGTGTTTTGACAGAAGACGGAAAGTGCAACATTAAAATTGGAAAACTTGGAAAATTTGATACACCCAGGAAGGTTGAAGGCAAGAGTGATAGAGAAAAATAATGCAAAATCTACCTAGCAAGGTTGAGTAAATGGATGGCAGGATGAGGTTTAAGCGAGTGATAACAAAAAGAAAATTTAATAAGTGCTACAAAAGACAGGAAATTGTGGAGAGCCATGATTGTCAATGTCCTGAGAGGACACAGCATATGGAAGAAAAATGTTTGTTGAAAGTAAAATTGTAAGAAAAATAAGATTATTCATTATCAAGTAACTATTTTACAGAGGATGAAATTTAGTGTTGATATTTACTTAAATGTAAATAAAAGTACAAAAGCCTAAATAAAAAATCTATCTTCTCTGAGGCAAGAACCTCAGTCAACTAGTAAAATGTTGTCACTAATGTAAAATTACCAGAATTTGGAAACTTGTGAAAAACTCAAATGATTTAAGTTAGTAATATTGTTTTTAATTTTGGTTGCTTGTCATACTTAAAAAGAAGAAAAAAAGAGAAATATATATGTACACACACACACACACTAGTTTGGTTAAAGACCAAGAAAATCTCTTTGAAAAATGAATGAAGAAATATTTAACAAATATTACTTTAAGGATAATTTGCCTTCCCATATCCTGGGAAATTGAAAGTTACCTTTTCTTTAATAAGACTTTCTATATCTAGACTGATGAATATTGATTCCACTGTTTGAAAAATGGGAATGTTGGCAGAAGTGGACATGACATGCTTAGGCAATTATGTCTCTTTGATTCATGATCACCTAAGGGTATTTGCACATAAGTGCATGTAATGAACGTGATTGGAATTTGAACTTGGCTCTGAAACATTTGCATCTAGTAAAATAATGCTTACAATAAAACATTATATAGTGCACAGTCCTTTCTGAAAACAGGCAATGTCTCATCACAGATTCCTTTTTATTTAATATTTGTGAACTGTGTATGGCTGTGTTTATTCTTAAGAAAGGTTGTGAAGTGAGTTGTGATTGCTTTTTTTATTATTGATACATGTCTTACTTTTAAAGTGTATTTATTGACAGTCAGGTGGAACTTAAGTATTCCTTTAACACAACATTTCTGATATAAATCTGTTGTGGTATTTCTTCTACATAAGCAGAATAATCAACTATATAGATGGGCAATTTGCCAATCACTGTATTGTGGATTCTTTTGTTAATGGAGAAAAGTATTAAAAACACAAAATAACCATAGAGGAAAGCTGAAAGTTCTTGGCCCAATTCACTTCCCAAAATCTGATCAAATAAAACATTAGAATCCTTTTTTATAAAGCTGAGAAGTTTTCACAATTGCTTCATGGCTTTCACTTCTCTAGCTCAACTGCTGATGTATTAACAATTATTGCTGAAAAAAATCTATCAAATTTTAGATAAGAATGGTGAAACTTGGGCTGTTGCTTTGGATATCTCAAAAGCATTTGACTAGGTTTGGCATAACTGTCTTCTTCAAAAGTTGAAAGTTTATGGTACTTCTGGATGAATTTTTGGAATTGATTCAGTCTTTTTTATCAAACCACAAAATGAAAGTTGTCTTGAATGGCCACTCTTCTATATCTTTTTGCATTAGTGCAAATGTCCCCAGGGCTCTATTTTCAGACCTACTTTGTTCCTAATTTTCATCAATTACATTCCTGATGGCATTAGTTCTAAACTTGGTATCTATGTTGATGACACAACTATTTACTCCTGTCTTAATAATAGGCTTAATTGGTTCGATAAGGTGAAATTGGCAGCTGACCTACAAAAATTAGATACAAACTGCTGTTAACTAGGTCAAGGAATGGGTTGATAATTTTAACACTTTCAAAATGAAACTTTTCTCTGTTAATGATCTGAGAGACTCCTTTCTATATTGCTGATGCTCACCTCTAGGAGAGTGACTCATTGCACCTCTTCAGGTTAAAATTCTCTGCTGACATAAAGTGAAAAGATTATATTGAATCAATTGTTAGGTCTACTGTTAGGAAAGTTGGTTCACTGTGTCATGCTAGACAATTTTTCTCACCCGAATCTATCTGACATATTTATAAGTCTACCATTTGTCCTTGCTTTGAATAATGCTGCCACATTGAACTAGTGCTCTTGCTATATATTTAGAGATTATTGATAAAATACAAAGAAGTATCTGCAATGTTATAGGTCCTGATCTGGTATCAGTCACTTTCCCACCACCATAATGTAGCTTCCCTGTTTCTTTTCTGTAAATACTTTCATGGTAATTGTTCTGATGAATTTTCCTTTATGATACCTAAACTTTATGAATTTAAGTGCAGTACTAGATTGGCAGCAAGGTCTCATCATTTTACAGTTGAAAGGGCTAGATGAAACCATAAGTTCTATACAAACAGTTTCTTCTATTGCACTTTGCTTGTGGAACTTTCTTCTGGCTTCTTGCTTCCCAGTCAACTCTGATCTTCAAAGATTAAAATGCAATGTCAATCATTATCTATTGTCTTAATTTTTATTCTTTTAATATTTCCTCTCCTTAATAGTGCGTTTTTCTCATATTTTCTAACACGAAGTAACTCCTTGTCTTAGTGACTTTATTGCCTTGTTTAGGGTGAAATGATTAAGAAAAAGATAATTAAATAAAAGTAATACTCATTTAATGAATAGAAAAATAAAAAGGTGTGAGGTAATAATTATCATGAAGCAAACCTTATTCAAATTTTTGTTGAGGTGATGTATTAACAGTATAATCAATGTCCTTGAAAAAGGTCATGAATTTTAATGTCTATTCTTTGACATATCACTTTGGCTGACAAAATATCTGCTAAAACTTCTATAATAATCTTACCCCTAAAATACAAGTCACAGTAAAAAAGCTGTTCACACATTGCCAACCTTGACAAGGGAGGCAGTCAAAGAAAAATGGTTAAAGATATTATAGGATGCAACACTGCAAGCCAAATGTTCAGATGAGCTCCATTCTTTAGTGACACCAGACCTTTACAACAAAGACCTGCCTTGCTACATCCACAGGGTTAAATCACCCCAATTCCTTATGTATTCCTTTAGTAAAAAGGACACTCCACTCAAAGATTCTTCCCAAGAACTGCTAACTTGTGAAACAGATTCCTATATAGATGTTTCTTCAAACACTACAATCTTAACTTCTTCAAGTCTAGGGCTAATTGTTATCTATCCATTATATTATTATAATTGTCACTTCCTACTTCCTTCTTCCTTCTCTTACATTCATATCACACACCTCATTCAATAAACCTCTACCTTCAGTGACTCTTGGGCAAACTTAAAAAAAAGTTTATTACTTAAAAAGTGATTGTTTTATTGACATGTCTAACGAGGGAAAATAATTTCTTTTGTTTTTCTGGTTTCTTTAGCTATAGGACTAAAGTATTTAATTACCTCTTGAAAGACTTTGGTATTCAGAAAATTTGCATTTCCAATATGATACAGTTTTAGAATATTTGTAAACAAATATATTGATATAAAAGCCCAACAATGATCTTCAGATAAAGAACAATCTTTGAGGTTTGTTAAGCTCCTTCTTCATTGCCCAAACAGTCCCCTGTTACCAATCATTTACAAATCTCATGAACTTATGGAAAGGATTATATTTCACTTTTTATTAGATGCAGAAAAAAGAACTTTAGATAAAAAGGAGTGATGACAAATCATATATTATAGTGATGACATTATAAGAACCTCAAAAGAAAACAATCTTGGCTGCATCCAGAACAGCCTTTAGCATTTCATGCAATCTACTGAGAAAGAAGTTATTTGTTTCTATGTACTTGGTTTATTACAAATTTCTGGAACCTGGACAAATTATTATTGCACAAAACTACAGAAAATCTTTATAGGAAGTAATTTA